AAAAAAAAAAAAAAAAGTAGAAGAAGAAAGAAAGGAAGGAAGAAAAGCTCAAAGGAGTCCATATTGAATATGTAGCTGTACTTAATATAGAGGTCCAAATAGATTTTGATTGATTGATATACCATTTTGCAGATTGGGCTCTGTACTTGAGAAATTGTAGTTCTTCTTTTATATACAAATGAATTCTTTGGTTCTGTTTTCTTGTGGTTTGATTATAAACTTGCATTGTTCTATGATGATGATGATGATGATGATACATATTTGCTAGTGATGATTGGTGGCTGCTCTTTCTTATTGAAATGTTACTTTTGATTATAAACTTGCATTGCATGATGCTTATTAGACTATTGCCCGAAAGGTGGGGAGAATTTGATCCTGCCCTGCCCACATTTGATTCTTTACGGTTGGATCACACACTCACACACACAACCATATGGGTGTGTGTTGATCCTACAGTGCCGTGGAAAAAAAAAAAGAACTTGATGTGGGCAGTAGGTATGAATTTCCGAAGCGATATCATGCATGAACAACATTGTATACTTTCATGCAAAAGGAAGGACATTCATTTTGACATTAATGACTGCATGATATTTCAATAAATTCTATATCGGTATTAACAGCTGCACAAATACACGTGTTAATCGTTGCAGAACATAAACGAGCCTTGTCCTGCATGCGTATGTGTTGTGTTCCTGCGTGTGAGGTTCATTAGCTGCATTTTCGAACTCATTCCATTATGTGTATACTCAATAAGCATCATGCAATGTATATATCGGCATCAGCACAGAGGAATCGAAGCAGATATCAGGGGAAGTTTTGTGATTTTGGAGTGATGGGCCTTATATGTAATTCGACGACATATCACTGAGTGTTTAGCTAATTCCATGTTCGAAAAAATGTGGATACATTTATCACTTTCAATTTATATCTCCTTCTTAGTTGATGCATGAACTCAAATGAGAAAAAACAAAATAAACTGATTGCAACAAGTGATATTTGCTGTTGCTGATGGGACTTTCGTCGAACGAAAGTGAGCATTCGTGCGATGGGCCTATGAGGGCTAATTTGAACCGTTAGATCGCACGGATGTACATATCTTTGTTGGTGAATTGTTGGGGTTCATATTTATGAAAAGAAAACTTCTTGTAAACAATTGTGTCTGTTAACTCGAGTTCATTAGGTTTAAAATGAATTGGACAATGATGCTTTCAATATTTTGAAATTTTATGTTGTATACCCTTTGGCAGTAGCCAGTAGGCCTTTGGGTAGGGTAATCTTGTCCTTTGACTGGGGAGTTAGACCTTATGATGTTAGGCCATCAATATATATATATATTTTTTTTTCTAGGCACTCTAAGCTGGTCATGTTTTAGTTCATGCTCATCTAATAAACAAGTCAGGTCAACTCGAACACAACTCGTTTAACCTTGTGAGAGTCCGGCTCGGCTCGGCTCGGCTCGACGACTCATTTTAACAAACCTAAAACTTTAATTGAGTTGGTCGCAATAAACAAGTTCAACTCAACTTAGCCAACACTCATTACTTGGAACCAATAAATCT